CATATCTAACAATATAAGCCATGTATGTTTCTAAATATAAATGTAATCCAAACAAACGTCGCTACCAAAACAAATATATAGCAACAAATCCGTCACAGTACAAATATGTAGTATAAATGTTTGGTCATGGATTGTTAATGTTTTAGGGATAGAGAAACGTTGGCCACAGTTCGTAATAATACAGAGTAATAAATGTTCGATCATGGATTGTTCATGTTTTGGGGATAGAGAAAAGTTTGGCTATAACTTTACGCGCCTATATTAGATAAATTTGAGTAATAAGTGACTGGTCATTATTTGTTCACGCTAATTGAGAGATATGTTGGCTACAGTTTATTGTAATATAGAGCAATAAGTGTTTGGTCAAGGTTTGTTCTCGTGTAGTTGAGAGAAAAATTGGCCACATTTTGCAGCAATATAGAGTAATAATTGGTTAGTCGTGGTTTGTTCACATCTAGATCAGAGCAATGTTGACAACTGTTTGTAGTAATGTGGAACAATAAGTGTTTGATCATGGATTGTTCACGTCTAATTTAGAAAAATATTGGCTACAGTTTTTAGTAATGTGGAACAATAAATGTTTGATCATGGATTGTTCACGTCTAATTTAGAGCAATGTTGACAACAGTTTGTAGTCATGCATAAATGGTTGAATATAGTTTGTGCCTTCTGGGCTAGATATACGTTTGTCATAGTTTGTATAAACGTGGTTGGTCATGGTTTTTAATAATATAAAATTATAAATGTTTGGCCATTGTTTGTTCACGTCTAATTTAGAGCAATGTTGACAACAGTTTGTAGTCATGCATAAATGGTTGAATATAGTTTGTGCCTTCTGGGCTAGATATACGTTTGTCATAGTTTGTATAAAGTGGTTGGTCATGGTTTTTAATAATATAAAATTATAAATGTTTGGCCATTGTTTGTTCACGTCTAGGTTAAAGAGCATTTGCCACTGTTTGTACAAAGATAGACTAGAAAGTAATTAGCTGCCTGTACATATCTGAGCACTGTAAAAATTGGCCAACATCTAGAATCATCTGAATTAGACACTTAGATAACACGAAATCAACTGTAAGATATTTTAATAAACCAAGTGTTTGGTGTTTAGAAAATTTATTTCTTCAACCACTTTACTTTCGTAATTTAATATTTTTTAAAGATCTGAAAGATAAAATAGCTAGAATTATTAGCTTTGAAAGATTAAATAGCTATAATTATTAGTTTGAAAGATCAAATAGCTATAATTATTAGCTTTGAAAGATCAAATAGCTATAATTATTAGCTTTGAAAGATCAAATAGCTATAATTATTAACTTTCCAAGATCAAATAGCTAGAATTATTATAAACGTTTCATGCATAGTAGTTGTATATTTCAATATCGTTTTAAAACTGTACTTGTTCGTTTGTGTATATAACTTATTTTCCCCTTTGATATAATAACTGAAAACTGTTAAAGTTAATCTTGATAATCGCGACTGAATCGTTCTTATTTTTGATTTATTTGCAATTCTAGGAACTTTAACATATATAATCAAACCACAGTATTTCTCTCAAATTTGCACTGGTCAAGGAAACCATATATCTCATATATATCGCATATTTCTCGTTTCAAACCGCTGACCAAAGCGTGGTCTCAAAAGATGAAAACTGATATGTTTACAACCTAGTGATTTTTGCGTCTATTTAAAACAATACTAGTAAAACCTTGATAATAGTAAACATTATAGATTCAGAATTACTACAGTTTGTACAAGTCTCTTGAGTTTTTTTAGTTTTTATTTTCTTGTCGTAATTTAGTAGCAGTTTTATTGTTTTAGAAAATAATTTCACTGTCTAAGAAGGATTAATTATATAATTGTTTATAATACAGTTACTTTTCTGTTTTCATACTTGAACAATTTTGTGAAATATTTAAATTCTCCCAAAACGGGTGGATTTTTTTTTTTAGCAGATTTTATCTGAAAGTCACCTGAGTCTGTTATTTTCTTGAACCCACGGAACAGGAAAAATTAGATTAAAAAAAAATACTTCTTTCACGAACAGTTCATTTTAAGGATAGAATTAATTTTCGGTGTCTCAAGTTTTCATAAAATATCAAAATCACCAAAGAGCATCAAATATCAACCTTTAGACCAAGCGCTACCTATTGGTTAGCACAGATAGCCCATTGTGTAGCTTTGTGCTTACTTCAAACAAACAAACAAAACCTATTGGTTAACGTGCCAGACTGTAGAGCTGAGGTTCAGTAATTCGCGTTCCTGCTGAAAAGAAACAAAAAAATCGTTCTCCCTACTTTGGCACTATGGGTGCATTATAAGAGTGACGGTCAAATTCCACTATTCAGTCTGACAAGAGTAGGCCCAAAGTTGGCAGTAGGTGGTGTTGGCTTCCCCTCTTGTCTATCACTTGAAAATTAGGGACTGCTAACGCATGTAGCCCTAATATGATTTTGCACAAAATTCAACAAAACAAACAAACAAGTCAACCATGAGAAGCCTTGTTAAATGTAACACTAGTTCCAGATCTAAACGTGACAAAATACGAAACTACTGTACTTTACAAAGAATTGAGCATGAAACCTAATAGATGTAGTCAACATGAGCATCAGGTGTAAAATCACTTGTAAATAACGTTGATAACCATGAAAATATAACTAATGAAGAAAATATAAACTTAGATAATATAATAATAGTTTTACCAAATATGGGTATGCTACACAATATATTATTAAATTCTGGAAAGAGGTTAAAACAGTGTATTTGTATTCCATTTAGAATTGTAGTTTCTTAAACTTCTGAACTATGTTTTATTAAAACCTAATAATTTCTTACATATCTTTAAGAAGTTAGGTTTAAATCTGACATTATCGCGATATTCCCTTTAACATGTTACCATTCTACATAACTAGGCCATGTGATAGGCTTAAAAATGTACTTCTTACTGACACTTAGATTACATTTGTTGAACTTGTGTTAAAGTTAACGCTGTTAATTTCATATATAACTCTCACAACCAACGAAAGGTGTGACAATAGAAATTAAAATGGGGCCTTTTTGCGCTATATTATTTGTCGATGACTTTAAAAAACAAAATTATAAAAGACTGCTACTCGATCAATAACCTTGGTATATTGACGCTGTATTTAAATCTGCACAGATGACAAACCGTGTAGTTTTCTCCATTATATGAGATATTTTTACCGATCACTTATGAGAACTTCTTTAATTTCCGAACAAAGTATTGCATTTAACGTTGTCATCGTCTTTATATTTATATACTGACTTGTCTATAAAATAGGGTTCATCTCACCTACTACACACATCTGTAATGCATAGCGTTTGGTTTTTATCGTGTGGTGTTTGAGACTTTGACTAGTCTACAACTGCACACATCTGTAATGCATAGCGTTTGGTTTTTATCGTGTGGTGTCTGAGACTTTGGCTAGTCTACAACTACACACATCTGTAATGCATAGCGTTTGGTTTTTATCGTGTGGTGTTTGAGACTTTGGCTAGTCTACAGGACAATGGATAAAAATAAGAATTTTTACAGATGCATAATTGCTTCAAAGTCGTCGAGAGTTACTTTTTTCTACTAGCTGTTTAAACTGTTTATCATTAGAGTTTATCAACAGTGGCAATAAATAGGAGAATAAGTCTGCTACTATGAAAAGTTAGTGTCACCTTCGACTGAAGACTGTCAAAAAGAAAAGACGATTACATCTACTTGTAAAAGTGTCAGGCTGTGTTACAGTAGTCAGATTCCTTCAACAATGACCAAGGTTCGACTATCTTCAAATGTTCCAATCGAAAGGCATGATTAAGATTGTCATATGCCAGCAAAAAACCAGCCCAATAGCATGGTATTAAGTTGACGATTAAGTAGAGATATAAAAATAATCACATAAGACTCTTGTTCATTCTACGTTTACTGTCCCGACAGTAAAAGATAAACTAACGAGATGTGATATGATCGTGTGGAGAACGTTCCGATGGCAGAAGTCGTGATTTCTTTAGAATAACATGTTCAGCCAACAATACTACATTTCCACAGTAATAGGAAACGGACAATAATACGCTACACTCGAATTTCCAAAACTGGTTTATAGAGCATGGTGTTGACTTCAGTTGGTCATTAAAAGAACATGTCCAACCAACAATACTGCATTTCCACGGTGATAGGAAATGGACAATAATACGCTACACTCGAATTTTCAAAATTGGTTTAAATAGCATGGCGTTGACTTCAGTTGGTCATTGCAATTAGTTACAGGATCACAATTCGTTTGAGCATTTTTGGGATGAAGTTGAACGTCGCATTCATCATCATAATTATTTAATGACATCTATAGGAAGTACATACACAACATACTGCTCTACGGACGAGCAACAATCAAACAAGACACCTTCCAGTACCTCATGATAGGAAGTACATACTGCTCCACGGACGGGCAACAATCAAACAAGACACCTTACAGTACCTCATGATAGGAAGTACATACTGCTCCACGGAAGGGCAACAATCAAACAAGACACCTTCCAGTACTTCATGATAGGAAGTACATACTGCTCCACGGAAGGGCAACAATCAAACAAGACACCTTCCAGTACCTCATGATAGGAAGTACATACTGCTCCACGGACGGGCAACAATCAAACAAGACACCTTATAGTACCTCATGATAGGAAGTACATACTGCTCCACGGACGGGCAACAATCAAACAAGACACCTTATAGTACCTCATGACAGGAAGTACATACAGAACATACTGCTAAACGAATGGGCAACAATCAAACAAGACACCTTCCATCGTCTTGCGAGCTCGTCCACTTAATTATTTTTTTAATTTAAACTATAATTTAATAATGGATATAAAACAAATAAATTAATTAAAAAGGCTTACTTATCACAAAGATCGTGCAGTGTTGTGTTAGCTTAGAAAATCATTCTACTCTTGTGATTAAAGAGAAATTCGAAGTAACACTGGATACAATATTCTAGTGCAGAAAGTATTTTATTGTTAGAACGAGTACAACAATTCACATCTTCATTGTGCAAATTTCATATTAGAGTGCGTTATTTCTATGTTTATATACTAGTGGCGATTGAATATTAGTGCCATCTCTACTGGAAACACTGGCATTCCAATCATTCTTCTTCGCTGACGTCACGACGTCGTCTACCGGGTCCACCGGCAAAGTTGGCTGCCGCTAGTCCCATCAAATGTTTAGCAGCTTGACTTCCAGAAAACCCACGTGATAATCCTAAGTCTAGGCCTCGTTTATCACTACAGTTAAAACATGTGATAAAAAAACAAAACAAGTTAAACATGATAAATTAAGACATCATCTCATTACAAAATAAGTATATCTAGGATTTTTTTTTTGCTGTAAATTAAATAAATAACTTGGATTCTAGGTTTCTTCCTTTTATTTATTTTTTACAACAATACTAGAGTGACCAGATTTCCAAATCGAAAAACAGAGACAGCTCAGCCCTTGTTTCTAATTTCAAAATGGTTATGACAAATGTGGAATAATTTAACATTTTATATAATTTACTTTAAAATTATTAATCTTTTACACATTATTTCCAAATGCATTACCATTGGCATTAGTTTTGAAATAATTTCGAATACATTCACCAACTGCTATACATCTACTACAGAACTAGTAACTACAAAACCTACACAGTCCTGGGTTTCTCACCACGCACAGACGGAACTTTCTAGAGTTTGGCAGTAGGAGATTACGTGTTACAACAATGAGCAAGTCAACTAGGCCTAATACATTCGTCCAGAGAATTTTTCTTGGAACACTGGCACAAACTACCAACAAAAAATGGGACCGTCCCGGAAAAATCGGGGCGTCTGGTCACCCTAAGCAATACGTAGGTATTGATATGGTAAATGAAACTCCATAGGCCTTCCTTCATACTGGTCTTTTTATCTTGTTGATTGTAATTCGTTTTCAGTGAAATTTTAGTTGTAGAAGATAAACCAGAATAGGAGACTTACGTTTTAACACTCTCGGAAGAAATCAAGTTATCCATTATTCCTGTCAAAACTCGTATCACTTCATCTGGGTCATCAATTTCCACCAAAGCACGCCTGTACCTAAATATTAGACAATATAAGGTTATGTAAAAAGTGTATGGCTAAATCAGATTTAATTATAATATAAGTAGTTACAATATAATTACAGTACAAAAATTGAAAATGCTCTAGAATGCATCATGGAAATAAGAAGTAAAGGCTTCAAGCTTCAGTTTTGTCTTCATAAAATAACCTTGCGTAACGTGAATAAAATGTGGTAAGATGTAAAAAAAAGAGTAGAGATTGTTACGAAGTACTGGAGAGTTTATCGAAGAATTACCCGTTGATGTTCAAGTAACACACAATAAAAACAAATAACAATGCTCTATGTTTTTGTCCTTGAAACAACAATAAAAACAAATAACAAAGCTCTATATGTTTGTCCTTGAAACAACAATAAAAACAAATAACAATGCTCTATGTTTTTGTTCTTGAAACAAGAAAAAAAGCTACGATCTTCTAAGGTTTTACTCAAACATATTTTCCATTTCTACAGCACCCTTGTTTCGAGAGTACTTTGATGCTAGACAGAGAAACAAAAAAGCATTGCCCGTTGGACTTATATATTGGATGCCTTTCTTTAAGTACTCTCGAACTAAGAGGCTCTCTTGCTTCTGACTGTGATCAATGAATATAAACCCTGTTAGAGAATATACCGTTCTCCCTTTTGGACAGCTAACTAAACAAATCTTAGAAGTCGCGATTTCTTGGCGCGCCTGCAAGGCAGATCACAGTACTTTTACTGGTTTGTAATAAACTTCTTCCAGCAAAGTGAACCCATAGTCTACTGGATAGCTATTTCTCTCTTCCAGCTAGTGATATCATCTTCAGGCTGTATTCTATGGTGATTGATTTACCACTCAAGCTCGTGTTCCCTAAACTTAGAATTAAAAGAATGGTGTGTAGTCATTAAGTAACAAAGGATTTCCTTTTGGAAACTAAGTGTCGATAAACTTAATTTGTTTTCAATTTCATGTTTAAACTTAAAGAGTTGAACAAATTTAAAAAAATGCCAGATAAAATTTTAGATATTTTTTCATATGCATTGTTTTATTTATTGAAAACTGTTCAAAATATTCTGTTAGACTACGATGATAAAAAGGTTTTTAAAAACTTCCGTTTATCACAAATGAGGGCAATTATGTACAAAATGTACAATTTGGTGTACATGCCTTCTCCCCATACGACCTTGTGGCTAGAGCGCTTGACTCACACTCTGAGGGTCGTGGGTTCGAATCCCCGTCCGTTTCAGCCATGTGGGCGTTATAATGTGACGTTGGTAAAAGAGTAGCCCAAGAGTTAGCGGTGGGTAGTGTTGACTAGCTGCCTTCTCTTTAGTTTATTACTGCCAAATTAGGGAAGGTTAGCGCAGATAGCTCTCGTGTAGCTTTCCACATTATTTAACTTTTAAAATATGTACCTTAACCAAACCCATGCGCTAGAAATATTTGTAGCTTATGCAGCCTAGCTGGCTTGGTTTTGAAGTTTGGGCTGAAAATAAAAGATAATGCCCGAAGAAAATAACTGGAAAATCAAACTGATATAACATCGCACTTGAGGTCTCTATTTCATCTTGGTAAGAAAGCAGAAGTTAAAGCTGGTGTGTTTAATAGTAATGTGAAGTCAATAATTAGTTATTTACTGTAAGTTACGATTGAAGGATAATAGAATAAGATAAAAAAAACACTAACGGCTACTAATCAGAGCGTTTCTACCCCCAAAAGCTTGAGATCGAAATTTGCTCTTTGCAATCCGCAATTAAAAATTTTCAATAGCTTATATATCGATTATAAGTCTGTAAACTTACTGTATAACTAAATACTTTCCAATGAAATTTAACTCTGATTTCGTTTCTCACATGACGTAAATATTTGATATAGTGATTCTGTTTTGCTTTGTTTATGTTGTTTAATTACATACATAAAGCAATCGTGTAGGGTTATTGTGAAAAATATTTAATAGGAAGTTATTTGTGTCAGAAATAATTTTTTGTGTTTATGATAATAATAAGCACCAGTTCACGAGGATCGTAGAGAGCTTATAACGTTAAAATGTGGGGTTAGATCGCTAAAGCAGTCATAAGACAATAAACAGATAAAACAACGAAATTATATCGATATTGTAAAATATTAGCTCATGAAACAACTTAGGAATGAAATTAAACCAGTTTATAAAATTAAAAATTAATCAGTTATTAGAAGGCATTATTTCCTATGATTCTGGGTATCTGTTTTAAAAAACTGTGTCAAAAAACACTTTAAACTTACCTCTGTTACTCACTTGACGTTTACTTAATTAATCTGACACACGCCAACTGTATGTGTTTCATAGCCAAAGTACGTTTTATTAATATAGAAGGGGAAAGAAAAATAATATCGTTTAAAGGCTTAAGTTGAGAAAGTTTCTTCTTTACGTTACTAAAATGATCACCTGGTGACAGTAACCGAAAGAGGTTCCATCACTCATTTTGTCACTACGGTTTTAACATTTATAGGTCAATAATCCTGCCTTTATCTATAGCATTTTTATCAGCATTTATCATGTGAAAATGACATGTCCAAGAAGAGGGTATTTATATTTCAAAGAATAGTAACACCTGTCTTGTGAAATATTGACGGTTTGTAAAATAATGAAGTTGTTTTCCCATTTCCTGCGTATAATGCAGTCACTATTCTCTTTTCATACTTGAACAACTTTCTAATATATATTTTAATTTCTTGGCAAACTTTATTTTAATTTTGAATTGAGAGACTATAAGAAAAGCATCTAATCAACACCAACCGCTCTTGGACTACTCTTTGCCAACGAAAAGTGTGGTTGATTGTTACATTATAACACTCCCACGGTTGAGTAGGCTCGATGAACGGGATTCGAACCCGCGACCCACATATTACGAGTCGATCGGCCTAACCACAAGGCCATGTCATGCCTGTTGGGACATGGTAATACAAACGGTGGTACTATCTTATAGAAATTGGAGAAAGAAGTGTGAAATAAAACGCATTCGGACAATATACCCACGAAATAATAATAAAACAAAACTTAGCTCAAAGTTATGGGAAACTTAAAAACTAAAACTAAACCTGGTGTGTAAAATGTATAACTTACCGGGGTTGAGCCAAAGAAGCCGACAAAGTCATTGACAAGACTGTCATTACAAGGAGTACGGTGACGAAAACCTTGACCATTGTTTCTGGAATAAAAGACTAGCGTATAGACTAACAATTTTCTGATAAAACTTATTAATTGAATTGAATCTTAATTAATTAAAATATGGAATAACAATAAATAAATTGATATTTTTTTTTGCATGAACATTTCGGTTGCAAAAAATGAGACTGTATATAATATTGGAAGTCGTACATATATATGAGCATTATTTTATTAACTTTATTATACATCCACTGTTTTTCAAAACTGTTTTATAAACTTGTGTCGCTGCTGGTTTATTGATTAATTTGATTAAGTTAAATACATGATGAAATTATCAATACTGACATTAGTTTGTTCGTACAAAAAATGCTAATTTTCAATGCTCTTATAAAGAGACCCTTTTAACAAAAAAAAAAGGTCACTGTTTCTTGAAAACACTTTTTGCTATCATACAATAGAGAACTATCATGATTATTATGATAAATATTAAGTATTTGTTATCACAGGGTTGCCGTCTATAAAAAAAGGGGAATTGTTACACGAAACACATACATTCGATACCAAAACTTGAGAAATGTCACTGACAAACACTTCTATGAGAAATTTCAGAATGGTAAACATTGAATTAAAACTTCATGTTGTTGTAATAAAAATAACCTTTAATGACGTTGTGAAATAAATGATGTTTTTAGTAAGTTTTTATATTTATTTTATAATGCATTATATTAACATAAAAACATCTGAAGATTAGTTACCAGTTCTTGTGTTTAATAATTAACAAGTCTTGTTCAAAGTATGTAGTTACCCGAAAAAGACAACAAACTTGAGTATATTAGAACTAAACCTATCTCTGGAATATGACCTTATTGACAGGGTGTTAAAGTTCATATAAGCATAAGTCATGGTTCATATGACTATAAATGACCCCGTCCGGACACGAACCTACTACGCCTGCTGAAGCCTTAAAATTGATGTGTAATAATTTACTGTTATTTTACTGAAATAAAGTCCTGTTTACAATGAACCCTTCACCCTACGTATGAGTTACAACATACTACTTCATTCACAACGCTAAAGGCTGTATTTATATTTTGATGCAACGTTAACACTTACCATACTATTTCAGTCACAACGCTAAAGGAGGCTGTATTTACATTTTGATGCAACGTTAACACTTACCATACTATTTCAGTCACAACGCTAAAGGAGGCTATATTTATATCTTGATGCAACGTGAGCTCTTACCGTACTACTTCAGTCACAACGCTAAACGAGGCTGTATCTATATTTTGATGCAACGTTAACATTTACCATACTATTTCAGTCACAACGCTAAAGGAGGCTGTATTGCTATTTTGATGCAACGTGACAAGGTTTTGACAATACTACTTCAGTCACAACGCTAAACGAGGCTGTATTTATATTTGGATGCAATGTTGACACTTATCTCTACGTTTGGTATGTAGCTCATATGATCTGTGAAATGGTCCTTGTAATTAATATACCTACGACGTGTTGAAAAAGATAACCTAATGAGTAATGTTTAATTAATTATTATGAGGTGCTGGTAATAAAGGGTTAAGTGTTCCACTTGGGTACGTGCGAGATACGACTAATGTCATTTAGTTCTCATGAAATGTCATTATAATCAAATTGGTAATCAGTAAAAAATAGTATCATTAAGTTAAATTGCTGGCCTGGAGTTTAGTTTTGTTCTTTGTAATGATACAGCATGTATATCTACAGGAAGACTTCTCCACACCAAGGAATACTTTAGTGAAATAGACACTGAACTTTATGCGTTGTTTAAGATAATCGATACACGAGAGAATTGAAAAAAAAATGTTTTACTTGGAAATGTAAAAACTATTTTGTGCCTAAAGAAAATCAATTTTTCACTAAAGTTTTTAAGGTTTTGACATATTTGTCTTTTCATATTAAATTAAAACATTTTTACGTAATAGAAAACTCTATATGAGAAACTTTTTCTACGATAATTAAACAATTGAAAACGTTTTTATGATATACAAGTAATTAGAAAAAAATAATTTCTACAAAAACTTGTGACTGTAAAAATCGAGAAGTTATCAAACTACTGAGCGCTAGTCTCTTATCAAGAGGAATTTAAATAATTCGATCGATTGAGCTTCAGTTGCTGGAGAGTCTTGTTTGCAAATACATAAAAACTGTTTTGTCACGTGTGTTGTTTCATAAGAGTACACAACTGTTAAACAATATAAGCATATTCTGGTATCACACTAAAAACTAATTTCAATATTTCAAGAGGACAACGTGCAAAAATAGGGGAATAACATCCATGATACAGTGTCAAATTAGATATAATTATATGTCATATCCACCTCATATCTATCCAATAAGAAGCCCAGAATTTTTCATAAAGTTTTAATTGAAAGACCACAAATAGAATGAAGCTAGAGTTAAGGAGAAATATGTTTTATAATCCTTAACAGAGGCTTTCAAAATTTGCAATCAAAGAATGATAATACAATTTGGAATCCAAGGGTAACATTAGAGATATGTTTCCAATTTCAAATTTTAGACAAAATTAATAATCAAACACACACTAACTGTAACAAATATTATGCACCTTTAAAGCGCATGTAACATTCCTCCAAGTTGTACTGTAACCGATATAGTTTTGTAACATTTCTCCTAGTTATACTGTAACCGGCATAGGTTTGTAACAGTGCAACATTTCTCCTAGTTATATTGTAACCGACATGGTTGTGTAACATTTCTCCTAGTTATAATGTAATCGACATACTTGTGTAACATTTCTTTTCATTGTAATTTAACCGACATATTTGTGAAACATTTCTCCTAATTGTACTGTAACGGTATGAATGGAAGAGTTACCAGTAAGTGTGATGTTACAGTATGAATGGAAGAGTTACCATTAACTTTTATGAGGTTACAGTATGAATGGCTGAGTTACCATTAACTTTTATGAGGTTACAGTATGAATGGCTGAGTTACCAGTAAGTATGAGGCTACAGTATGAATGGCTGAGTTACCAGTAAGTATGAGGTTACAGTATGAATGGAAGAGTTACCAGTAAGTGTCAGGTTACAGTATGAATGGAAGAGTTACCAGTAAGTGTCAGGTTACAGTATGAATGGAAGAGTTACCAGTAAGTGTCAGGTTACAGTATGAATATAAGAGTTACCAGTAAGTGTCAGGTTACAGAATGAATGGAAGAGTTACTATTGAGCAAAAGTCTCTCAGTTATATACAAAACATTAACTTTATTCGCTTAACACGTCGAATTGCTACTGAGCATTGCTTTCAATCAGAATTTCACATTAAAGTTAATTGTGATTTCTAGTAGAGCCTTACTTTTTGTAAGAAACCTTGACAAGGGGGATGATGGCTTATATCGGACACTGATTTCGTTTTCTGAAATTACGCAGTGCAACACAGATATATCAAACTTAACTTGCGAAATTCATCGTACATTAATACATTTTAAACATTAAACATCAGTCACTCCTGTATTAAGTTAGTTATCAGGGCGTGTATTTACTAATGTTTAAAGGCTGTCATGGTGAAAGATTTCCTGGTAAACTGATAATTATTTGACTTTATAACAGTTTCTTTATAATTTTAGACAAAGCAAAATATAAATCATTAAAATTCTTGCTTATAATGTAGTGGGAAAATGTTATTTAACAACGCTTATGGGTAATAAGCGTGCATAAGAAAGTGTAGGGTCAATGAATGCGTGTAAGAAAGTTTAGGATATAACAAGAATGAATAACAATGTTTAGTAAGTGTATTATGTAAGTGTATTAGTAAGTGTATTATGTAAGTGTATTATGTAAGTGTATTGTTTCCCTATCAACACCTTTTATCATCTCAATCATATGTGATTTAATTCCTTACCGGCTCCTTTTTTTAAACCGATACTTTAATGTTCCAGAAACGTTTCATGTAAAACAAGATACAAAGGGAGAAAGAAACACAATACAAACTAAAACATATTGTTCGCGATATAAATAATTCAAGAAACAATCATTTTTAAAATAAACTCACCCATAATAGTTCAAACGTATTGTTTTCTCTACAGCACTAGGAACTAGCGTGCAAAACAAAATAGCTCGAGGGCCGATTTCAACTGAATATTCTTAATTTTACACAAACACTTATAGAAATGTTTATTATGACTGTTGGTGTAAATATTAAGCCTAAAGTTGTCTAGTTAGAAAGTTGAAGTGTTTCTTATGACTGTTACTGTGAAAATGAAGCCTACAGTTGCGAGTTGAAATGTTTCTTATGACTGTTATTGGGAAAATTAAGCCTATAGTTATCCAGTTGAAATGTTTCTAATAACTGTTACAGTGAAAATTAAATATAAAGTTGTCCAGCTGAAGAGTTTTAAATGTTCTTTTAAAGCTGAAGCGAAACCGAATAAACGAGGCATATCTACGTTTTTCGCAAACCAGATTTTCCAACACTCGGATAACTTTATATGCAATAAAGTCAAATTTGTAGTAGTCGCTATTAAACGTTGTTATAGCATGTATATGAAAAATATTCTGAAGAAAAGAGTTAATTCTGGCTACGGTTACTGGGCGTTACCTTATATTATGAAGACTTTGATGGAGCACGAAAATATTGTTTTATTTATTTTTGTGGTATCTGTGAGTAGAGCTATTGAGTCTCTTCTGGTAGTACTTACATCAGTGACAAGAAAAAAGGGTCTACATATTTCTAAAATTCTAAACTTACCACAAGGGTGTTGCAGAGATTGAGATAAAAGTTATTCTCTTTGGTCAGGTAGGTTCCAAGTGCTACTTCTTGGGATTGTAGATGCTGTGTCGTCGTCTGTCTGAATGACCTGATAGGCTGGCAGCTTTTATACAAATCCAAGCTAGCGAAATTGCTAGTTTGACGTCTGTAGTGACGTCATTACGGATACTTTTCTCATTGGTTAATGATCTTGCAAAGCTTTTAAGAGTTTTCAGGGCGGAGTTGTTTTGACAATTTGCGACGTTTAATATAACTTACCAAGAACTTAGGTGCCCAGTATTAAAACACAAGAAAATACTTTTTTTCTATAAACTGAGCTTCAAAATATTCGAACTTTTCGTGCTTTGATTGAAACTTGAATGATAGCATTTGATTTCTTTGTGTTCGACTTATTTTAATTAAAAATAGTAACTTTATATAGATTAATTAAATGGATTATTATTAACTTAGCTACCAATTGATTGTCTTCATAAAAGACTCTCATATATTTTCAGATAAATGAACGAATTTTCGGCTCCTATCTAGGAGCGTACAAAATAAACTTCTGAAAAAAGTAAGGTCAGAATTGATTCGCGATATTTTTAGTTTGTACACCAAGATATTGGACCTAAAAATCATATATTTTAAGGACGATACTCCTCATCCACTCGCGAAATTTTCATGTAACGAGGTTTTAGAAATCTCTTTACTTTTATTCAGTTATTCTATAATATTTTAACCAATATTATTAGAAATATTTACCAATCTTAGATGCATATCTTTTCTCATTAGAAATCTTCTTTTTAGGGAGGAAAAATAATTTACTAGTCATCAGTAACTTTAAAGATCTACTTCTAATAAACCACACGATTTTGCTAGTCAATATCTTAAGAAATCCCCCCTTGAAGTAACCACACGATTTAGGTAGTTATTATTCATATAAGCCTATTTTTAAGTACCAACAAGATGTGCAGATCTAGTACCTTCATTAACTTTTTCTTTTTTGGCAACCACAGCATTTCAGTAGTCAGTATCTTTGGAAATCTTCCTTCTCGGCATTCACTGTGTTCTGACAGCCAGTATCGTAAGCACAATATTTTGCTAATTAATATTTTAAGAAATCCCCCCTTTTAGTAACCATAAGACTTAGGTAGTTAGTATCATGTTTTATTATATTGTTGGTCTTATCTATCCATAATAAGTATAGAATTTATTTAATTAAAAAAGGCTAAATGTGGTTGCTGAAAAACTGTTAAATTCTGATAAATGTGGCTACTCATTTCAATAAAATAGCGATCAACTTACGATCAAATAACCACAAAAATTTTATCTGTAATTCTAAATGTTTAATACCGTGTGCCATAAGGAAGTCTATATGTACTAACCCTATCATTTCTAACAGAAACTTTTTCGAACCGTATGTCATACTACTTTTAACAGGTATATTTTATCAGTCAATATCATACCCTGCTTAACTGTTACATCATACCATATTTAGCTGATACGTTTTATGTAACCAAAGTCATAATACAAAGATAAATGAATCATTGAAGTTAGCTGTACGTAATAATATGTCATAAATGTATTTATTAAGTAAATATATTGAGCCATTTTGCTAAATAAATCAAAATAAAGCTAGTGACTGTATTAAAAATATCTGGGTAAATACACTGTTCACGTAACACAATATGATTGTATTAACACCGTTTTTTGATTCACTTCTGATATTTTACCACTGTGCTTAGAGTGCTAGCAACTAGTATATAACCTCTGATATTAAAATACATTTCGCTTCTTTTAGGCTTATACTCAACAAAATAATAAATTATAAAGTGAATGAAATATCCTGAGTAAGTGTAGTTGCAAGTAACGTTTTCTTCCCGAGAATGCATATTTCGACCAATCTATAATCTTCTAATTTCTGTAATAAAACGTTACAAATATCTTATGGTTTGTAGTGAACAATACTTATTAACCTATTCCTTTCATCGGTATGTCTGCGGACTTACAACGTTAGCAACCTGGTTTCGATACCCGTAGTGGCACAGCACATTGTGTAGCTTTGTGCTGAACTTCGAACAAACAAACTTGTTTTCTCTGGTTATTAGTTTTATTTGAAAATATTTTTAAATTGATACTGGTTATCTACCACATTTTTCACTAGACAGTATTTTTTTCATGTCATATATACATTTAATGTCCCGTGAAATCAGAGCTATAATTAAAAAGAAGAAAGTAAAAATCTGAGTGAATGTTCCTTGACAAAATTTTAATTAAGGCCTATCCAAAAGGAACAAAATAATCGCTGACACTGTAAACACTATGTTGATACTACCTAATTAATTATTAGATATTACAATTATGTGTCGTAAGTGGCGTAAGAACATAACAGCGTCATCGGTTGACTACATTTGCCTCAACAATCGGATTAAGTTTTCCGCGGGAACAGGTGGTTGCGACGTGTAGCTAAATAGGTGTTAGGATTTAGAGGAGAAGCCCAAATGATCTCGCTTGTCTCCTGTACAGTAACAACTTGTATAGTGAACGATTTTTCAGTTCTTGTTTCCAAAAAACTGCAGATTTTATCATCAGTCTGACTGTTTCTATTGCACCAACTTTTCTGGAGGGCATACTCTAAACAGTGGTTTTCTTAAAACTAATACTGGAAAGAAGTAAAATACTGAAAACACTGAACAATCCTTTCCTATATGCGCAAAAGATATTTCGCATTTTACGTGTTAATACTTATTGAATACGAGAGGCACACAAATCGGGAAACCCATTTCAAAAAAGAAAAAAAAAGGAGAGAAACACTATCTTTTCTAATTTCCCCATCCAATCTAGTCAATGTAAACTTTCTATGAATATGTCAGTTTTGTTTTTGTATTGTTTTAGTATCACACATTTTAAAAGATACAAATGTGTGGTTCACTAAATAATAATGTGTTTATCACAATGCACTTGCTTCTAACTTGGCACAGCGGCAAGTCTACAGACGTATAATGCTAAATACCGGGTTTCAATACCCGTGGTGGGCAGAGTACTGATAGCCCAATGTGTAGCTTGTGCTTAACTATAAATAAACAATAGACTTTCGAACGTTTACATACTCGACACTAATACGAATTGATTTGTCTATTCTTTGGCAAAAGGAATAATTCTTGCCTCTTAAATAATATAACTAACACACTGCTATTCTTAGAATAGTATTAACACTTCTCCATATTAATTTGTTCGTTTGTTTGTTTTTGAATTTCACGCAAAGCTACACGAGGGCTATCTGTGCTAGCAGTCCCTAATTTAGCAGTGTAAGATTAG